GCCGAGCAGGGAGCCCGATGCGGGACTCGATCCCAGGACCCTAGGATCATGACCTGAGCCGAAGGCAGACGCTTAACCATCTGAGCCACCCAGGCGCCCAAGATTTTTGGTTTTTAAATGTATTCTCTATGGTTTAGCTTCTGATATAATTGCTTATGACTGTGATCAGGTTGGTAGCATTAGAAGGTTATTATTCGTTGTAACTTTGGCACTTAGATTTAATAATATATGCTGGCTTAATTTTTTTTTTTTTTTTTTTTTACTTGGTTTCTGTCTTTTCATTTTCTATGTCCTAAATTGCCTACTTTTTATTTTGAAGGAGGCTATCTGCATTAGTTTGGGAAGTCAGATACATAGAACATAATGCCAGGACATTTAATGAACCCGAGAGTGTAATTGCAAGATCAGCTAAGAAGATAACTGACCAACTTTTAAAATTTATAAAGTAAGTTACCTCCTATTACAGATGTTGTGAAAAAGTGACTTTTCATATTGTACCTCTTGCAGCCAGCCAGTTTATAATTTTTGCTCTCTGAATTATACCTTTTTAATGTGCTACATTAAATGACATTTCTTTACATACATATTGTGAACATAATTTCAGTAAAGGCATGAGAAATTGAACAATCCAGATTTTTCTATTTTTTTAAAACTTTGAACTAATTTTATACTATAGAGAGTTGCCCTACAAATACCCTTCACCCGGTATTCCCTTAGGTTAACATTTTTCGTACCTGTGGTGTCCTCATGAAACATTAAATTCTCCTTGGTGTAATACTAATGACTGCAGTCCAGAACGCCTGTGGATTTCCTCAGTTCTTTACACCAATAGCCTTGCTCTGTCTTCAGGACCCGGTCCAGACTGCCATAGCTTTCACGTGTCTGCTGTCTGTGTGTCCTTTCATCTGTTGCTTGGCTTTCCTTTCTTTCCTGACCTCATCATTTTTTCTCAACACTTCTTTTGTGGAGAGTATTGAGTTTGGGTTTGTGAGATGTGTTGTCATGACTAGATTGGTTTTCATCTCTTTGGGGTTGTATCCCATGAGCGTGTTTGTATGAGTGACTTTGCACATGCTTGCTTTCATTGGGAGATGAGTTTGGAAGAGTAGGATGGGAAACTGACTTGGAAAGTGAGATCTGAGTTTTAACCTAATCTGTTCAAGTGAACATTCTTTGTCACTTTGGACAAATGACTCAGCCTGTTTCCTTCAAAATTAATGAGTTTTGCTGTATGATCTTTAATGCCTTTTTCTACTATAGCCATGCAAATTGTTGGAAAGAATTACGTATTGGAGAACATGGTTTATAAACTATGCCATCATTTTCACCATCAGGCTACACACTGGGAAATAACTGGTTCTAGTCTATCTCACTTTGCTGGGTTGAATCCGCCTCTTGCCCGGATGACTTGGACTTATTTCCCTTTCTCCAGCACTTTCATTTTTTTCTATTTCAGAAAAATCACATACCCACTTTCATCTTCCTTGTGCCTAGACATTCCTACTTTAGCATTCTTTCTTCTGTGTGTGTAGTGAAGATACAGTTTGCTTTAATTTCTGCTTTTCCCCTCTATTTTATCTCCATCAGCCATGTTCTTGGTACTCGCTATATGAATATATTACTAGTGATGATGTGTAGGAAAACTCATCTGCACATTCATCCAATTGAGCTCATGTATATAGTTTCTGGATTACCAGCTTAATTTTTATACATACATAACTGGGCGGGGGGTTGGGGGGGACTTGCTTTCAGTATTCTAAGATGGTCAGTTGTTTCCACAGAGTGTAGATTAAAAAACCCTGGTATTCCATTGCTTGAAATTAGGCATGCAAACTTGGGGCACTGTTTATATCTTAACCTGCAGTTTGAATTTTTGACAGCAGTAGTAACTACATCTGCATACTCTTAAAAACGTGAAAAATTGTTTTTTAGGAATCAAGACTGTACAAATATCTCAGAACTTTCTAACACTTCTGAAAATGATGAGCAAAATGCCGAGGATTTGGTATGAAGTTTGTTAATTTTATAATGATTTTTGTTAATTTCAAATGGTAACTTAAAAATATTGAGTCTCACTATATTCCAGTGAACTATGAAAACTATTTTGATAAAAATATATATATATTTTTATTTTGTTAGTCACCATACAATACATCACCAGTTTTCGATGCAGTGATCCACAATTCATTGTTTTCTTACAACCCCCAGTGCTCCATGCAGTACGTGCCCTCCTTAATACCCATCACCGGGCTAACCCATCCCCCCACCTTCCTCCCCTCTAAAACCCTCAGTTTGTTTCTCAGGAGAGATGACGCATGAGAGACTATGGACTTTGAGAAAAAATATATTTCTTAATTGTCTAGATGTTCAGTGAGGGAATTTGTTTCAACCAGTAATTGCTACCAAATAAACAAAATATGTCTATATGAATAACACAGCTGCGGAATATGTTCTCTACTTTTGCTAAAACCAATATCTGAGAGTTGGATTTAATTGTAATTAAAAATTCATGAACTTTTACCATGCTCACAGTACCCACAAGTTCTTCACTCAAGATGGTATTGAAGTTTAAGGCAGCTATCAGTGGTGTCGAATAATTTCACTTTATACAGAATCAGGCAGGAAGTTGCAGGAGTTGTAGGAAGGATATTCTTTAAAAACACTACTCATGTCAGTGTAGTGTCAATTTCTATGCAAGCCCTTATTGTAATTCACTGATTTTCATGCTAATTTATATTGGAACAAAAATGGGTATACAAATACCTGATTTAGAGAATAAGAAAATGTGTAGAGTAGGAAATTCAGGAAATGTAGGAGATGGTTTCTAGGGTATTATGGGTAGAGGTAAAACACAAATTTAAAGTTGCTTATGCATGTTCTATTTAGGTCATGCACAAAGCAACTTTTTATAGCTATCTTTTGGAATTACTGCATGTTCTTAGGGAATGTAAGGGGTTATTAAGAATGATTGGTTTGTTGGAGTCTGGGTCCCACAAAGGTCATCTGATAGGGTCTGCCTTTTGAGATTTTTGTAAACAAGTTAAAACCCTTGTAAGACCTAATGTCTTGATATGCTTTTAGATTATTACATTTCTAATGAGAATATTAACACTTAGGCTGCTCTGATTTTTATTCCTAGGATGATAGTGATCTTCCTAAAACATCTTCTGGAAGGAGAGTAAGTTAATCTGCCTGATTGACCTTTGTTGTTTACTTATTCTGTGTTTTAAAAGCAATCTAAGGGGGCGCCTGGGTGGCGCAGTTGGTTAAGCGTCTGACTGTTGATTTCGGCCCAGATCATGATCTCAGGGTCATGAGATTGAGCCCTGGGTGAGGCCCTGTGCTGAGCCCTGGAGCCTGCTTTTAAGATCCTCTCTCTATCCCCCCACCCCACCCACGCCCTGCGAGCATGCGCATGCTTTCTCTCTCTCTCTCTCAAAAAAAAACACAACATTTTAAATGTTATCCAAATGCTGCTTAAATTTAAGCTTTTTACCATATTAATTTTCCTAATACGCTTGCCCCAAATAACATTGAAGAAGTTAGACTTGAATTATTGTCATCTGATTGTCATTTTCATATAATTTCATTCTTAAACAAACTCCCAGGTGTTTAGTATCTCTTTAGTATTTGTTTGCTGTGGCTGCTATAGCAAATTGCATATCTAGTGGCTTAAACAATTTTGAAAAATGGTGTTGGGGCGCCTGGGTGGCTCAGTTGGTTAAACATCTGCCTTCGGCTCAGGTCATGATCCTGGGACCTTGGGATCGAGCCCCGCATTGGGCTCCCTGCTCAGTGGGGAGCTGCTTCTTCCTCTCCCTCTGCCTGCCACTCCACCTGTTTGTGCTCGCTCTCTCTGTTAAATAAATAAAATCTTAAAAAAAAAATGATCTTCTGTAGATCAGCAGTTGGACATAGGTCTCTGAGCTAAAATCAATGTCAGCATAGCTGTGTTCCTTTCTGGAAGCTGTAGGGTAGAATCCCTTTCTTTGCATTTTTCCAGCTTCTAGAGGTTCATGTCACCTCTTTTATCTTCAGGCTAGCAGCTTGAAGTCTCTGGCTCTGACTCTTCTGCCTCGCTTTGTTTTGTTTGTTTAAGATTTATTTATTTTAGAGAGAGAGAGCGTGCACAAGTGGGAGGGGTGGAGGGAGAGGGAGAGAGAATCCCAAGCAGACTCTGTGCTGTGTGCAGAGTCCAGTGCAGGGCTCAGTCTCACGACCCTGAGATCACGACCTGAGCCACAACTGAGAGTCAGATGCTTAACCGACTGAACCACCCAGGTGCCCCTCTTCTGCCTCACTCTTAAGAGGACCTTTGTGATTACTTTGGGCCCATCCTGATAATCCAGGTCCGTCTTCCCATGTCAAGATCCATGTCTTTAGTCAAGTCTGCCATGTAAAGTGACAGTCATGAGTTCTTGGATTAGGATGTGGGTATCTTTCGAGCCATTAATTAGCCTACCAGGTTATCCCAGGTGGTACTTCATATTCTGTGAAAATATTCTCTATACTTGGGAGATAAGTGGTGGGATGAACAATATTTTCAGAGTAAAGGGTGTGATGCTGTTGGGTTTTTACAGAAAAGTGGGTTTCTTCCAAGTAGGCAGAAAATAAGAGTAGCCCTATTATTAAAGTACAGAAGACAACTCACTTGGGTTTTTACCACCATACTGTGCCATATCACTCTGTTAAATTTTCAAGACTGAAAAAAACTTTTAATACTGTAAATGTGTTTTTAGGTCCATGATTGGAAAAAAAGGAGCATCAAAGCGACCAACTATGTTGAAAGTAACTGGAAGAAACAGTGTAAGGAACTAGTGAACTTAATTTTTCAGTGTGAAGATTCTGAACCATTTAGACAACCTGTTGATTTGGTTGAATATCCAGTAAGTTGTCATTATTTGAATGTTTGGGCCTTTTCTTGTTTTGTATAGAGATTGGGGTGGAGGTATTTAAAGTAAACTTTAATGAGTAAGATGTCTTAGCTTCATGTTAACTTTGTCTCTTACCACTGAGTGGAAGAGTTGTATTACACAGTTTTTCTTGAATCTATAGACACCCTTGTAACTTGGGCTGAGACTTAATCACTGCTGCATCATAACGGGAGGATTCTACATGGTTACTATCTTAGTAGGGCCAGCCCCAGGAAAACTGTAAATTGGATAAAAGCATCTGTATTCATTCCTTCAGTATGGGGTATGGGAAATAGCCTTAAAAAAAAAAAAAAGATTATAAAACACAAATTTACTCTAGGAAGCTTGGAAACTATGTAAGAGTGTAAAGAAGGAAATAAAAATCATTCCACGTCCTACCAAGTATATCATTTTGGTATATTTCTTATCTTGTCTTAATGTCTGGGTCTCTTTTTAAAAATTATGGATGATTCTTAAGGTCTCCTTCTAATCTTTTTCTCCTCTCTCATTTTGAATATTTTAGAGATCTGATGCACTTGCATTTCTAAAAGTAGGAATCAAATCTTTGAACTAATTATTGTTTTTAAAATCTAGGACTACCGAGATATTATAGATACTCCAATGGATTTTGGAACAGTAAGGGAAACTTTAGAAGCAGGAAATTATGACAGCCCTTTGGAATTTTGCAAAGACATCCGGTTGATATTTAGCAATGCAAAAGCATATACACCAAACAAAAGATCAAAGGTAATTTTAAAAGTGGTTATCAGAGAAAAAAGTGCATAATCTATGTTGATGGTCATTTTCCACTTGCTGGTAAATGTTGGAACATTACAGATAAGTGAAGAGAGAGACCACTGGTAAGAATAGCGCTCTGCCGCTGCCCAGATGTCTGCGGTTGGTCCCTTAAAGCAATTCACGTTTACCTTTCCTGAAGTTGTATAAACAAATGGGAATTGGTGGGAGTGAGGCTGCCGGTGAACTTGATACATAGAATGAGAAAAACCCGTGTTTTCATACATGTAGGACTCTTGACAAGTGGATTAGAAATTTACTGAGAGAGGCTGGAAGGCTATTACAAGCCAGCGAAGGAAGATCTGAAGCGGGGGTGGGACTGTTGGCGCTATACTGATATTTCGGATGCAAAGAGGAAGCACGTGCGCTGTCTGGTTATTTAAGAACACTAGGAGAGAGGGCATCCCTGAAGTATTAAAAAATTGGATAACTTTTCAAAATTTGTTGAAGCATAATAAATGTACAAAAGGGTACATATACTCTCAGCGAATTTTCACAAATACCACAAAACCCTTGTAGCCAATGTGTGTTGGGTAATTGAAAACACAGCAGTGATTTGAGAAGATCTTCAAGGAAAGCACTTGCTTTTTTTTTTTTTTTTTAAGATTTTATTTATTTATTTGAGAGAGAGAGAGAGCACATGAGAGGGGGGAGGGTCAGAGGGAGAAGCAGGCTCCCTGCCGAGCAGGGAGCCCGATGCGGGACTCGATCCAGGGACTCCAGGATCATGACCTGAGCCGAAGGCAGTCGCTTAACCAACTGAGCCACCCAGGCGCCCAAGCACTTGCTTATATTGTGGCACTTTGTCTGTGGTCAGTGACTGTCACTGCTAATTAACCATTGTGCCTTAATTTCACTTTCTCTTCATTATTTATTACCAGACTCCCTGTGTTATTTTTAATCTGAGAACTCTTTCCTTGCATTCAGTATGCAAATTTAACATCAATTTAAACATCACTTTAACATCAAGTCTTTTTTCCAAGCTTGTGTTATTGTCAGTATTCATCATTAGTGAGACACTTTCTTTCCAGAAAGAAAATAAATCTCATTCGTGCCTCTTTCCCCTTTTATTTTAAAATACATATTTGAGGATATATCACACAACTCAGCCATTTAAAGTATACAATTTATTGGATTTTTGTGTATTATGTTATCAGAATTTCAAAGTTATGGTTAAACATGTGTAACATAAACTTTATTATTTTAACCACTTTTAAGGGTACATTTCATTGACATTATATTCACAGTGTTGCTTAGCTTTCCAAAACTCTCTTGTCAACCCACACAGAAGTCCTAACCGCTGAGCAGTAACTCCGCACTCTCTCCTTCTCTCAGCCCTTGGTAATAAGGTCTCCTCTCCTTTGTCGGTATGCATCTGCCTATTCTAGATGTTTCATGTAAGTGGAATCACACAGCATTTGTCCTTTTGTGTCGGGCTTCTTTCACTCAGCAGAACCTTTGAAAGGTTCATCCATGTTTGTAACTTGTATGAGAACTTTATTCCTTTTATGCCTGAATAATACTCCATCGTATGGGTATATGACATTTTGTTTATCTGTTCATTTCCTGCTGGACAGTTGAATTGTTTCTGATTTTTGGGTATTGGTAATGCTGTCATGAATATGGATCACGTCATCTGTGAAGAACGATAGTTTCACTTCTAGCTTTACAATCTGATTTTTATTTCTCTTTTTGTCTAATTATTCTGGCTAGAATTTAAAGTGCAGTGGTGAAAGGAGGCAATCTTGTCTTATTCCTCACCTCGGGGGGAATGATTTTCCGTCTTTCACCGTTGTATATGATGATAACCCTGGGTTTTTTTCATACATGCCCTCTTTTCATTTTGAGGAGCTAATAATTTTAGCACCCCTTTTTGTTAAATGTTTATGTTCAATTCAAATGTATCATTGAATTTTACATAAAACCTAATGAGAAGACAGATAATATGAAGAATCAGAGGTTTCAAACTTAATATGATTAAGAAAACAAATCACTTTTAAAACTGGTGACTTACACTAGAATTCAGATTTGAGGGAGAAGAATAAGTTTAAGATATATACAGAATACTGGAAATAGTTGTCAAAGATCATTTCAAAGATGAAGTGGGATTTTGAATTTCACATATATTGTGAATATGTATATGTGTGCATATATATTTATAAAGCATATAGGAAATTCATGTATCCCAAACCCTTTTTTTTTTTTTTAAAGATTCTTTAGTGTTAGTCTCTCCACCCTTCTGCCCCGTGCATCAGAGTGATTGATACGTAGCTTTTGAACATTAGACTTTTTAACTTATTTTCCCAGAATGATTGTGAATGAGTCGAGAGTACTTCCTGTAAATACATAGCTATACCAAAGTTAATTACAGTAGCACTTAACATCACACTGCTTGAATTCTTTGAAAGATTTGATACTATTTAATTGTAAAAACTGTTTAAACATAGTCTTTCACATCTATTAAAGTTCTAGGGCCTATTTTCTTCTCCTGGAGGAAGATAGCCTTTGGTCTGTAATTCATGTTTAGATCTGGGTGGCAACAGAGGCCGTCACATTGCAAGTTGGAGACCAGGGTGAAAGTGCCTTTGTTTCCTCATCCCAAGGAGACACTGCTCTTTTGCTGCCTAATAAATAGCAATCCTAAAACCCACCAACTTCTCATCTGACTTTGAGAGAAGGGGACATTTTTTTTGGATTTGTACATGTAAATGTGAAAATGTGAAAAGCCAAATGAAAACCGTTGACATGTAGACATCAGTCCCAGATTCCAGAGAATTGCTTGATTTAAAACGATTTTCTTTTCGTCTGAGAGGTGTATGTCTGATGCTGCCTGTTTCTTGCAGGTGTCACTGAAGGAAGGGGGGCAGTGGATAAAGGAACAGCTGTTGTCTGTAACAGTGATAGAATAGATTGCAAGTAGTCTGTGTGTTATACATTTTTTTTGTGAAAGTATTTTAAAAGGTATGTTGTAGTTCTAGTTTTGCTTTCATATCCTTGCAGATTTACAGTATGACCTTGAGGTTGTCTGCCTTATTTGAAGAAAAAATGAAGAAAATCTCCTCTGATTTTAAAATTGGTCAAAAGTTCAGTGAAAAACTTCGAAGAAGCCAGAGGTTCAAGAGACGGCAGAATTGTAACCGTGTCAATCAGGCTAACAAAAGTATCAGGTGAATTGGTTATTGCAGGCTTTGTATGTAAATAGACAAATTTCAGGTTGTGATGCTTCTTTAATTTTATTATGCTAAAATGATCAGGAGTACGGTATATTCAGAAAGATTAGTTTTTTATGGCTTGAAAGCACTGCATATAGAGCTACTGTAGAATTTGTAATTAGGTAAATTTTAAAGCATTTAATGAAAATGACAGATTTAAAAAATCTTAGGATTAAAGTATTATTTATTACGTAAGAAGCTTTTTTTTAGTGCAGAGAGTAAAGTGGTTACTTTGTGTGACCGTTGAGCATTTGACTGTGTAAGGGAAATATCAGAGAAACCTTATGCACCCTATTTTTTTCTGAGGATTGGTTGTAAAGAAATATAAAATGCAGGGCTTATTCTCTATCAGGAATTTAATATTACGTTCTGTCTTTGACCCTGTAGCTTGCATTAATATCAGATTTCCAGGTACTTTGAAGTGTTGCAGTGTGAAAATGGAGTAAATCAGTGTTTAGTCTGTGTCCAGCCTCCTTTTGAACATGCGCTGAACCATGATGGGTGTCTACCTGCAAGTTTGGGGATTAAACTGCATGTCAATTCAGAACTGTCTCCTTCAGATTCATACTATTGATTCTCATAAGTTTGTTCTAGGCTTAGCTTTCTCCCTTCCTTTTTTGTGCTATTGTTGTCAGATTACGTCTTTATATGTTATGGTTTATCTGGTTTTCCTTAACATTGCTTAGGAAAAGAATAAAGTCATTTATACTATTAATTATATTTATATACGTGATTACCTTTCCCAGTAGTTTTTATTTTTTGTGTGGAGTGAGTTACCCTCTGGTGTCCTTTCTTTTCAGCCTGATGTCCTTTAGTGTTTCTTATAAGGTGCATGTGCTAGCAATTCATTCTGATGGGTTTTTGTTGGAGACTAGTTTTGCTGGATATAGACTTCCTCGTTGACAGTATTTGCTCCCCGTCCCCCCCACCAACACACACACATTTTGAGTGTTGCCTTCCACTGCCTGCTGACCTCCGTGGTTTCCCATGAGAAGTCAGCTAGTTGTGCTGCTGACGTAGCACAGAAGGAATGGGTTTTCTCTTGCTGCTTTGAAAATTCTGTCATTTTGCATCTGACTATAATGTGTGTAGGAATTTTTCCAGCTTTGTAGAGGAATGTTTTTCATCAAATCTGGGTGGTTTCTAGCCATTACTCAAATTATTTCCTGCCCCTTTCCTCTCATCTGCGGGCTCCTCCTGTACATATGTGGATATGATGGATGGTCTCCCACAGGCCTCTGAGGCTCTCTTTATTTTTCCTTCTCTTCCTGTTCTTCAGATGGGATAATACTCACTCACCTACCAAGGTCACGGATTCCTGTACCAGCTCACATCTGCTGCTGAGCCCATCTCCTGAATGTCTGTTTCAGTTATTGTGCTTTTCAACTCCAGAATCTCTGTTTGGTTTTTTGTTTTTTTGGGTTTTTTTTGGTAATTTCTGGGTCTTTCATGGATATTCTCTGTCATCTTCCTTTTATTTTGTAAACATTATTTCATTTGGTTTTTCAAATGTGTTTATAATAGTTGATTTAAATATTTTTAGTTCAACATCTGGGTCCTTTCAGAGACTGTTTCTGTTGCCTGCATTTTTACCTGTATGTGGGCAAACTTCCTTGACTCTTGGTATGTCTTGTACTGTTCTGTTGGAAACAGTACATACTTAATAAAATAATGTTGCCATTCTGGAAATACCATCTCTTCAGGTTTTCTTATTGCTGTTTGTTAACTTTCGTAGAAACTCTGGATTCTGATCCTTCTCCCTCCCTCAGTGATGGTGCTTGTTGCTGGTTTTGTTTAGTGAGTTGCCTAAACCAGTTCTATAGTCTGTCTTTCCTGCAGTGTTAAGCTACTGAAATCTGCTTTTTAAAATAACTTAAAAAAAAAAAAAAATTGGTGGGGCTGTGTTCCTGGATGTTTTCCCTAACTTAGCAGAGCTCAGTGGTCAGAAATTTGTGCTTGTACACTTTAAGTAAGCCTTCCACCCTTTTCTGAAGAAGGTCTTTGTGTGGAGTGGGGCAGACTTCACCTTCTGCTTATACTTTTCCAGGCGTGAGTCTCAAGGTCTGCCAAGGACAACTAGGTAACAGGGCTCTCCTTGAGTACGTATAGAACCTTGAGTATGTGTAGAACCTTCCACATCCCCAGGAAGACATTGGAGCTTTTCAGAGACTCCTGTGACTGTCTCATTCCCTAGATCTCCTTTGAATTTTTGGCTGAGCTTCTGTTGGCTCTAACCAGTGTCACAGCTTAGGCAGCTATGTGGTTGGCCTGCTGGATTGCTGACAGTGAGTTTGGTGCCCTTGGGCAGAGCATGCGCTGCTTGGTGAAGCTCCCGAATCAGGCCAGCTCCCTTTGCGTCTTCATCCTGGTCCTCAAGGCTGTGCCACAGAATTGGGGTGTACATGACTGGGAGGAGCCCAAAGTTAAAATGCCAAAAACTCCAGTCAAGTTTTTTCTTAGATTCAGAAGGTTTTCTTGAATAAACACTTTTTAATTTGTTAAATGCCTGTGATTACTTTCCAGAGTTGTGAAATGATTTTTTTGGATGATTTTGCCAGTTTTATCTTTGCTTTTTGGGTGAGAGGATTTGCCAAAGTCTTCCTCGCATCCCTGCCCCCTTGTTTAGAATAACAGAGCTGCCCTGAAACAGGTAAACCTGTGCTCCTTAGGTAAATGAGTTTATCCTGTTTAGCTGCTTTACAGCCTGTAATTCAGGGACATACATCACGAAGTACTTACTATGTGAGTCCTCCCCACCTTTTTTTTTTTTTCCCTCAACTTTTAATTCTGAAATAATTTCAGAATTACAGAAAAGCTGAAGACTAATTGAAAGAACTGGACTCACCAATTTTTCATAGTATGTTACATTTGCTTTATCATTGCTTTATCTGTTACATGTTTTTCTTCTAAATCATTCAGAAGAGTATTTCTGACATCCTACTCCTTTACCCCTAAATACTTAGTGTGGATTTGCAAAAAAAAAAAAAAAATTCTAACCACACCTTATTGTATTTCTACCATTGACCCAATAATGTCCTTAGGGAAAATTTTTTTCCTAATCTAGACCCAAAGGAGGATCTTGCGTTGCATATAGTTACTGTTTCTTTAGTCTCTTGTTTAAAAAAATATTAACTCATTTAATCACACAATCCTGTTTTCCATTTTTTTTTTTTTTTTTAAGTAATCTCCACACATGGTGAGGGGTTCGAATTCACAACCCTGAGATCAAGTCACAGGCTCCACTGACTGAGCCAGCCAGGCGCCCTTCTTTAGTCTTAATCAGGAATTTTATTTTCATCCTTTGTCTTCTTAATTGACATTTTTGGAGAGTGTAGGTCATTTATTTTATAAAATGAACCTCAGTTTGGGTTTTTCTGTTATCGTATGAGTTTAATTTTTTCGTTTAATTATTTTAAAAAACTCTCTCTTTGAACCAATGAAGAGTCTAGCAGTTGAGAAAGACATAGGATAAAAGGGGACCAGTCTTACTCCGGAGGTATTTACCACTTGTTTTCTGTTTAAAATGAAGATTATGATGGATATGAGCATGTAATTATTTCTTTTTGTATTTATTGGTCTGTCCTTCAGTTGACAGTAATGGAAGTTAATATTTTGACATAAGAAGCTTGAAATTTCTTGATGACAGAAGAGCTGCTGCTTTAAAGAACCTTGTGGTTGTCTTTAAGCTCAGATTAGATTCTCTTAAAAGCTCCTTTATCTTGTTGTTTTAAACGAAAATAGGATTATTCATCATGAATATTACCCAGATCTGTAAATTAAAACCAAAGACTGTCTTGTCCTAAACTTCTACTTTTTCTTCATAATCCATGGCTCAGGGACCCAACACGGTGAACTAGTTGGTACTTAGAAGTAAACAGATTGGTCGTAGAAAAAACTACCTTGTTCTGATCTCTTTTTTTGCCTCTGTTCTTACTGTTTAGGTTTTGTTGCTTTCTCCTCTTA